TATATTGGTACTTTCAATGTTTTTGGTGGGATTTGACTTGATTCCTTTTACTGTAGGTAATTGATCAAGTGACAGTATGGATTATTTTTCCTTAAAAATACAAGTATATAATATTGTTTTACCACCATCTTTAAGGATATAAGTTTCTTTCGTTCTATAAAAAATAGCTTGTGCCCTTCAAGACTTGGTTCATACTAAAATTTGTAGGGTAAATCTCTGAGGCTTAACTTCAGCGGAGGAAAGATACTTTGCCCCTGGGAGCACCTGGGAGACACATGTGATGAACCAAACTCCCAGGCTTGGGTGCCCTGTATTCTTTGGGTCCAACTTTTCTTGGCCACCACAATTTCCTAAAGTACAACTTTGGCAAAAGATCCCTCCTTAGCAAAAAGAGAGTTCATTGTTCTTTTCTCAGCCACAAACGTACACTGAGCCCATTCAGTGTCAAAACAAGAAGCCTGAGGACTTTAAGCAGATTATGAGCCATAGTAAGCCTCGGTTATTCCTTTAAACAATAGCCCTTCACTTATATGTGTTTTTCCTCGTAAGCTGAAAAGTCATATTTCAGAAACTATTGATTGAGAAAAATATTGGTGGGGTTGAGTGTGTAGATTATTTTAATTGGAAATTTTTCAGAATCTTTCTCTTGACTTGGGAGACAATATTCAGTGTTAGGGACACATTTTTGTATAAGGCAGAATAAAATCACTTTTTTCTAATATCTGAAGTTCAAGGTGGCACAGTTGGCTTGAGTGAGACATGCTAACCCCCGCAAGAATGAATATGACTGAAGCGTGACGGCTGTACTTTTCTTCCTGCAGGAGCTCCAAGTGCGCTGCGCAGAGGGGCAGGCCCTATTGAACTCGGTGCTGCACACCAGAGAGGACGTGATCCCTTCGGGCATCCCCCAGGCAGAGGACCGGGCTTTAGAGTCTCTCCGGCAGGACTGGCAGGCTTACCAGCACAGACTGTCTGAGACCCGAGCTCAGTTCAATAACATAGTGAACAAATTGAGGCTGATGGAGCAAAAGTTTCAGCAAGTAGATGAATGGCTAAAAACAGTGGAGGAGAAAATTATTCTCAGGACGAGACGTCAGTCTAACCGAGCAACCAAGGAAATACAGTTACATCAGACGAAGGTACAATGCATGTAAATTCCTGATCTTTGTCAAAGCAGCAATTATCTTACATAATTTGTATCAGTAAAATATGTAGTAACTTTTGTCCAAGGATTAGGTTTTACAAAATCGCTTTCTGCTTGCTTAGAAATTTACAATAAATTACAATGGAGCATTCCTCTTACAGCAATTATTTTATAGGTTAGTCTTTGATAGAATGTAGTTTAATGGAACTATTTTGTATTTTCTTCCCATAAGCTATTACCTTGTTTTGTAAAGATACACAAATGCTAGTATCACAATTAATTAAGTTTATGATTCGATATGAAATTGCCCGAATATAGGGCACGGAAATAGTACTTGATAATTAGTTTTATTCTAATTTTTATACAATTTCGGTGTATACATCCAAAATAATGCTCAGGCCTAGACAATTTCTTTTCTTTATTCGTCTGTTTTAAAACTGATCTAAGTGCAACAGAAGATATAAAAATATATGCCACTTTGGGTTTTTTAAAAATTTTCTGAAGTGTCAATATATAAAAGTATCCAAACTCGTAAGCATGCAGTTTCTATTGAATTGTCGCAATGCGATTTTTCGCAAAGATAATATATGACACGTTTTCAAAATTACGTCTCAAAATAAATATATTTGAAACATATACTGAAGTGTTTCCTATTAAGAAGATATATATTTGTCTTATTCAAGAATGGCTAAGATTGACTCTTTCCCCCCAATATTGACATCATTGCAGAAGTGGCACGAGGAGGTGACCGCGTACAGAGATGAAGTTGAGGAAGTGGGCGCTGGAGCGCAGGAGATCCTGGACGAGAGCCACGTGAGCAGCAGGATGGGCTGCCAGGCCACCCAGCTGACTTCCAGATACCAGGCCCTGCTCCTCCAAGTGCTGGTGAGCAAACCCCGGCTGCTCGGTACGGGCCAGCAAACTTCGTGAGCCCAAAGGGCCTTCCTTTCATTAATTTCCAGTGCGGATACATATTTACAACAAAGACCCACAGGTCTGTGACTCACTGTTCAATTTTCTCTTTTCTTTCAAAGGAACAAATAAAATTCCTGGAGGAAGAGATCCAGAGTTTGGAGGAATCAGAGTTATCCCTCAGTTGCTATTCTGATTGGTATGGATCTACTCATAAAAACTTCAAGAATGTGGCGACCAAGATTGATAAAGTAGATACAGCCATGATGGGGAAAAAATTGAAGACGTTGGAGGTAGGCATGCATCCTTCGGATTTGTTTCTAGCCTTATCTCTTTCCCAGAGCTGCCCTGTTGTCCTGCAGGGACACATTGGAAGCACACATGTTCATCCTGACCCCATACGGCTGATGAGCCTCAGCTCGTCATTTCACTAGAAATACTAAGTTGACTCTTTAAGGCCAAAAGCTGGCTTTCATTTATCTGTGATATGTTGTCATCTGAAAGACTTACACATGGCTGCCACGAAAGTCTTAGCTAAATTCCAGTGTGACACAGTCATTCTCAAATTTATGGCCCAATACCTTAAAAAGGAATTTTAACTCAGATCTTTAGGGAGATTGCTAAGGATGAGAGAAACATCAAGTTCTTTTTCAATTCTCTGATTTGGAAACGATATGTTAATCAAGACTTTTCTATAGTGTAGAAAAGAAACCAGGTTCCTAATCCCTGGCAGGTCAAGTCTGGTTCTAAACTTCAGCAACTTATTTTAAGGGGAAATAGGTGGACTCAAGAACGGGACTTGAAAGCCTTTTCTTTAAGACTAACTCTTTATTTGCTTCCTACTTACTCTCTCTTTCAGGTTTTGCTAAAGGACATGGAGAAAGGCCACAGTTTGCTAAAATCAGCCCGGGAGAAAGGAGAGAGGGCTCTTCAGTACTTGGAGGAAGGCGAGGCAGAGACGTTAAGAAAGGAGATCCATGGTCATGTGGAGCAGTTGGAGGAACTGACCAGCACTGTCAGGAAAGAGCACATGGCCCTGGAGAAAGGTCTTCATCTAGCAAAGGAATTCTCAGATAAATACAAAGCACTGACTCAGTGGATAGCAGAGTACCAAGAAATCCTTCATATTCCTGAAGAACCCAAGATGGAATTATATGAAAAGAAAGCTCAGTTATCTAAATACAAGGTAGTGCATTGCTACTCCTTGGCAGCTGCATGCAGAGGGCATGCAGGGACTGCACGGGAGGGAGGTGATTCCTGGTGTGTGTCCCCCACAGTGGGTGCTGGAAAACATCCTGCACTTGTCTGTTCTGTTGGTGGCCAATGGTGTCATGACCCTATGCAGATTTATTTTGTTAAATACACTACCTCGGAGTTATTTTTCCATTTGGGAATCTGATACCCAAATATTGTATCAACAAATTTATTGGCTGTATGTATCAATTAATTAATCAATCAATAGAGGTCTTTTCTGACAGTGTGATCCAGGTGTATGGATCCTCCATTTAAACCTTGCTGGCACCAGGATCCCACACTACAGATTTTAGCCGACCCATGTAGAAGGCTTCCCTTCACCTTCTGGTACCCAGGGCCTAGAAGCTGACCTATAAGAAAATGAGATATATTTGTAAGAAAATAAGTTCTGATTAATGAATTATAACTAAACACCTGAGAAATTAATTTTTGAAAGAATAAATAGAGTGTAGATATAGCTATACGTGATATAGATACAGGTATTTCACCTGCTCAAATTTTCAAAACAATTATCGAAGCTTATATATGGAATAATTTGTGTTGTGAATTTGATCTAGATGATTTAGTGACAGTCTTCAAGAATTACAGTGTGGTCGCTTACCCCGAAGGTTTCCCCATTGGAAGCTTTAGTGAGCGCCTCCTCCAACCAATATGTCTATTTCTAGCCTTGGTTTCTCTGCCAAGCCTGACAGCTTGTCTTTGAAGATGCCACATAAGAAACACAGCCTCTGCTTCCCCACCCCAGCCCCACTGAGCTTCTGATATATTTGAATAGAGCTTTCAGCCTGTCTCAGCAAGGTGGCAACTGGAAATTTTCTCCCTAACTCCACATCTAGCTCAAGGGGGAACTGATTTCATGTCCTCAAAATCAAAAGATAGTGGCCTTACTCCTCTTCATTTTATGTCGAGGTTTCTTTTTTATTCTGTTGAAAGGAATAAGTTGGAAGCCAGAAATATGAACTATGTTAAATTTAGCCAAATGTATTTCTTTTCCATTCTTTCTTCTCCACAGTGAAGGGCTATTTGATGTGTTACGCTTTTTCTGTATTTAAAAACTGTGTCAGCCATCATAAATCATTCTCTCCTTAATGTTTTACACTTGTGGATTCATAAGATACGTCCCGGATCTTTCTTTGAGGTGGATGGTCTCATGGCTGCCACAGGCATATGTGTATGTTCGTCTTGTGCACAGAGATAAAGCTGGCTCTTCTTTTCTTCTTTGTAATTCAAGTCACTTCAGCAAATGGTGCTGTCCCATGAACCAACAGTAAAGTCAGTGAGAGAAAAGGGTGACACTCTTCTGGAACTGGTGCAGGATGTTACTTTAAAGGACAAAATAGACAAACTTCAAAGTGATTACCAGGACCTGTGCAGTGTAGGAAAGGTAAGGAGAGATCAGAATAAACAATTCAGCAATTGTTTATTGGCCACAGTATGGGTCCTAATTCCTTTCTCTCTGTCAGATAATTTTAAGGGCTGGTATGGGTCAATATTTTTCCTTTTATTCAGATGGGTATTTAAATGGCATAGTGACTCTGTTTTTTCCATCTCTAGTTGTTTTCGGATATAAGTAACTCTACCTGTCATGTGAGTTTACACTGGGTTTTTTGAAATACAAAACAGTTTTGAGTAAGTTTTTCATTTGAAAGTCACCTCTAATGGGTACCTGGTTTTACAGGAGCACGTCGTTAGTATGGAGGCGAAAGTCAAAGACCACGAGGACTATAATAGTGAGCTCCAAGAGGTCGAAAAGTGGCTGCTGCAGATGTCCGGCAGGCTGGTGGTGCCCGACCTCCTAGAGACAAGCAGCCTGGAGACAATTACCCAGCAACTGGCCCACCACAAGGTACACCTGCTCTCTATGGGACGGATTTACCAGCCCTGCCTCTGTGTGTGTGTGTATACTGTATGTGTGTGTACACTGTGTGTGTGTGTGTGTGTGTGTGTGTGTGTGTGTGTGTGTGTGTGTACAGCAGCATCTTTGGATTATAATCATTGTACCTAAACGATCAGGTCTGAGACTCAAGCACCTCTGACAATTGAGAGCAGTTGAACTTGATATTTAAGTGAATCACGCACAGTTGAATCCTGGCATTCGACTTCTGAACACGTCGGATTTTTTGCCAGCTAATAGTTTTATCCCCGAATTTCGTCCTTATGGAGTCTATTTTAAAAAAGTGCAATCAAAGACAGGATACAGGACTAGTAAGCAGAAAGTCTGGATTCTGGCTGGGCATGGTGGCTCACGCCTGTAATCCTAGCACCCTGGGAGGCCGAGGCGGGCAGATTGTTTGAGCTCAGGAGTTCGAGAC